GGTGAAGGGAGTGCAGGTTCAGATGCATATTTTCACACAGTCAGTGCTATGAAATTCTCCTAGAAATGTATGTGCACTGCTTGCCCCCCCGGACACAGTGAACAAAGTATTGATAATCTCCATGACTAAAATCCAGTTATCCAAATAGGATATTCTCTTGCCGGTTACAGAGGAATTGAAGGAGGAGATTTTGCTGTATTTCTCATTTGTAATCCAGTTGCTCAAGGGATTTGGGCTGTAATTGCATTGATACAAATAATCTCTTAACTCATTTAATGCAGCAGGTCTTTGGGCCCCCTGGCTGCAGTATGTTCCATCTGATGCACAGAGCTCACTGCACTGGAAACAGTGCAGATTGGCTGCCTGAGCCCCAGACTGGGGGCTAATCTGAAGGGCACTGAGTTTCTCGAAGTGCTGCCCTGGCCCTGGGGTTCAGTGGGGAAGTGGATGGGTTTTGATCACTGTGCTGCAGAATTCCCTTGGTGGTAACTAATGAGGCAGAGCTTTACTGCGGGGACTCCAATGGGAGGAATGAAACTAGAGCAGAGGGAAGGTTGTACCATAGACAGGGCCTGAGACCCGCTGTAGTTTTCTGACATCCCCCAGACAGTGATACAAGGAGCTGTGCCCGTGTTAGGCAGCCAGATGGCGACATTGCTTATTATTTAATTCTGAACGTCCTAATGCCCTCAGTTCTCAGCTCCCTGAGGGCACCTCCCCTCTGCACAGAAGGGGAGTGCAGCAGCACCAGGACCCCTGCTCAGCTTTGAGGTGCCACCAGTGACATGCTGCCCATCTTTGGTTGGGTGAGGACACACTACTACCCCTAAAGGTGAGGAGGAGGATGGCAGCTTCCTCCAGGCAAAAGCTAAGGACGGAGCTGAGATACTTGGCTAATGGCTGCTGGTGAGATCTCTGTTGCTTTGGTGCACTGGGGCATCAAGACAGAGTGGGATGTTAGGCTGAGAAAAGGGCTGATTATTAGAATACTGTCAGAGCAATAGGGGCCATTATATAGATGGGAAACTGAGGCCCAGAGAACTAAGTGGCAGAGCAGGGAGTTGAACCTCGGTCTCCTGAGATGCAAGCTAGTGCCCAAACCCACGGGGCAATTCCTTCTCCCATCTCTTCCACCGGGGTGACTGTGCTGTCACCCCATAAGAGGAGAGGTCAGGGGGTGACTGTTCTGTTCCTTTGCCCCCGCAAGGAGTGTTAATTTCTGTCAGGAAACTGCCTTCATAAGTGGGAGGGGGTCTCCACGTCCGGCCTGTGTGTGCAGTGAGGGTCTGGTCCTCCTCCCTGCGAGGAACTGACCCACCCTTGGCTTTGGAAGCACAGAGGAAATCAGTGGCTGCCTGATAGTAAGGCAGAGCCATGAGAGGCGGCGGAGGGCGTGCGGGGGGGTTCCTCCCCTGATGCCAAGGCAGGGTTGGTAATAACATGTGCCTGTCGAGGGCCCTGTCCAGGCCTAGACTGTGTATCTCTTTCTTTCCCCTGGAAGGATTTAGGCAGTTCAGACGGTAACACTTGTGTGACTTGTCCTGCCGGGCTGAGGACTGGAGCCCTGTCTATCCATGGGAAGGGTACGGCCAGGGCGCCGCAGAGCCTGCTGACCCCACAGTATGTTCCAGCCCTGCCCTGGAGGGAGACCACCTCTGGGGGGAGGGAGGGGTCAGGAAGGGAGCTGAGTCTGAGCCAGTCGGTGCTTGGCCCCCTCGCGGATGGTGCTGGTGAGGAGGCTGAGCTGTGGTGGTGTCCCTCTGGCCTGGGTGCCTGCCTTCTAGGAGCTGGGCTGACGCCCACACCCTCTCCCATCTACTGGCTACCTGCGAGGCGCCTAGGCTTGAACTGGGTTTGGCTGGGCCACCTTGCAGTGTGCTCTTGCTGCCTGTCCCCCTCCTCACCGGTGTGCAGGAAGGCTGAGCTGCCCCCTGCCTGCTGAGGGCTGCGGGTGGCTCCCTTCAGAGATAATTGCACCTCAGCATGGCGCAGCTGAGGCCCCTGTTCCAGGGAAGCACAAGGCCCTAGCTTCCTCCCTGGTCCCCATGCAGCTGGGAGGGAAGAGAGCGGACGTTGGGACCCAAACATGGATTCCCAGCTGGGAGCCGCTAGCACTGTCAGCCCCTGCAGCTTCTCTCCTAGTGTCCCGTTAAACCTCCCTGGGGCAGGTGCTCACCAGCTGCATTCTCCCCAATGCGTCCACCCTGAAATCCCATCTCCTCCCCCAGACGTGCTGGGGCCAGTTTCCACAGAGTGCGGCAGGGGCTGCAGCGCAAAGGCCGTCAAAGCAAGGTAGTGGGGTGGGTGGCGAGGCGAGAAGCTCTCGCTGAAGCGTACAGCTATGGCTGCAGATCTTCCCCGCAGGCCGTCCAGCTGCCCGCTGAGGGGAGTCCAGCAGGAGCCGGGCCTGCCTTCATCTCTGCCTGTCATTGCAGAGCCCTGTGTGGTTAGCAAGCTGCCTGCTGAGCAAGCAGCCCTTGGTCAGCATCCTCATTAGAGCCGGGAAGGGGAAAGCAGAGAGATTTTAATGAGGTTTCAAGAGGCTTCCACGAGCTAATAATAGCAGGTCCTTTTTGGGGCCCAACAGAGTGAGATGCCGAGACCCAGGACCCGATTCTGCCCTCGCTGTCACCGGGGTCAATAAGAAGGAGCTCCACTGACCATACCAGCAAGAGGAGACATGGATCCTACCTCGTAGTCCGGAAACAACCTGCCCAGGTCCTGGTGCCTCCTCAGATCCACCAAGCCAAGGCAGATGGATCTGGCCACATGGCGAGACTAAGGAACCTGAGGGGAGTGGAGCTGCCCCAAAGGGGGAGATTAGAGACTCTTCTGGGGAATAGCTTCATGGCAAGTTTAAATGGGAGGAGGATGGGTACCACTCCCAGTAACTTCTGCTCGAAGACTACCTGCGGTCTCCGCAGAACTAACCTTAGAGCTGATCCTGTTGAGCTATTGGCATCTTAACTGTGTCTGGGACAATATCCTCAAACAACTCAAAGCCTGGGATTTCTGTCCTCGGGATCATTCCAGAGTTCTCCGGAAGTGGCACTGAGGATTTGCTGATGTAAAACTCCGAAGGGGTCAGGGTCTGAAATCCAGGATACAATATTTAGCAAGGCTTAGGGTAACTGTGGGCAGCCAGGTGCTTATCAGTCCCAGCCTCGAGCAGGTGGAGATCTTGATATCAAGAAAACTGTCTGGAAATCTCCTCCTCTGGATTCAGTCCCTTCCAGTCGAACCCATCCAGGCTGCAGATAGATGGACAGCACGCTGACTCATACGCATACGTCTTCCTGTGCCTGGACTTAGCTCTGGAGTTATAAATGACCAGTTGTCTGTGTAGGCTCCTCCGGGGCTGGGTTAATGGGGTAGGTAATGCGGGTGGTGGGGTCTGTGTTTCTTGTCCCTGGGTGGTTGTTTTCTTTTGCTTCCCCCTGTTGGCATGAGAGGGGTCTGTTTCGTCCTGCCGTGCCCTGGCATTGGGGAGCTGGGTTGGGTTTCCTTACAGAGCTGGAGTTGGAGGGTGGTGTGTGGGGGTGTGTGTGGGGTGGGGGGCTTACACTTCCTAACCATATTTAAAACCAAGAATGGATCATGCAGGGGCTGAGGCCATGAGATTGGGCGTTTTGCTGTTGTCTCCTGGCACCGGTTCTTTACTTTGAAAGATGCTGGGTTGTTTTTATAGCTTCCAGGACTTGATAACAAGTGCTAGCAAGTCCTGGCAAGATCTCTCTGCTGCTGGCTTGGAGTGCTCGTGTGCCAGCACAAGGAGTTGCCAAGGTAGATGTACTGCTTGCAGTTGGAAAGGCTGCTGCCCCCGAAGGGGAACCTGCTCCTGCTCCAGTGTCCGTTGCTGTTGTGCTTGTTAGTCACAAAGATTAGTGAGCGTAAATGTCTTGTTGGCACAGTCAATAAGCAGCCGCTGCTTTATCATGAGAGAAACGATGGGTGAGATGACGACGTCTTATTGGACCAACTTCTGTTGACAGAAGGTACAAGCTTCTGAGCTACACCAGGCAGCAACCACAGCAATATTTGGGTACATCTGTGAACCCCGAGTGTGCAGGTGGCGAGTTGCTCTGTGTCGCTGTGTGTTCCTGGCCAGCCACACGTCCCAGCTGAAGCAGGACACCCTCTGCCCGACACACCTCACAAGTGCATTTGCTCACCTGGTTATTAATGACCCGAGCGGCCTCCTGCAATCACTCCATAAATACGAATAGAGCCATGCTGGCTGCAGGGAAGGAGCCTCTCCCAGGAAGTGCGAGCGCTCGCAGTGCCAATCCACACACAGGCCGCAGAAGTTATTGCCTCCTGAACTCTGTGTAAATGTTTAAGAAGCGCAGCCCCACGGATCTAAGCATTTGCGTGTCTCAAGGACTTCCCAGCTAAACCATTTTCCATGTGTAGGATTCTACTTACCGTGTGGATCTGTGATTCACGCAGCTTGAGGAGAGGAGAAACCTGAATTCTGAAGGGCTGGGGGGGTCCCTGTTTACAGTTAGTGTGACAATGACAGGAGGGGGTGTGGCTCTGGGGACCCCTAAATTCTGCAGGGCTGTCCCACTTCAAATGACTGTATATAGATGATTAGGGGACAGGGAAATGTAAGGTCAGAGCATTAAGACCAGGAGGGGGAGAACCCATGTAGTGTCCCTGAGTGGTGTAGCTGCCCGTCCCGTGAGACGCGGCTTGTCAGGCAACGACTGCATGCTACCACCCATAGGCGGGCAGGGAACACTGTCTTTTATGGTGCAACGTCGTAATATCCTTCAGGAAGTCAGAACGCGTCACGTCCTCTGTTCCAATGCCAACCCCAGGTTGTCCCCTCCCACTCTGAGTATTGCTGCCTGGATACCAGAGTGCCATACAAACTGTGAAGTAGATCATGGCCCGTGGGCCCCTCTCTCCTGCCCACCTGTTGGGGTGGGACATTGTTTCCTGTTCTGAGCCTTTCTCCCTTGGGTGTGACGTTGCTTTCTCCTTATGTCTCACAGGTGAGCCATCACCCACCAGCTGCGGCCCATCATGTGTATTCCAAGCAAGGCTGGACGCTGTGGCAGGAAATTACAATTGCCAGCAAGTTCAGGGGCAAATACCTCTCTATCATGCCACTGGGTAAGTGACTAGCCCAGATGCTGAGTGTTAAACCCTGGGTGCGTTTGCTCTGCTTGTGCGCTACTCAGAATGTTTGGCTAATACCTGATCCCATGGGGATCACATAAACCCTGTGGAGGGTCTGAACCGAGAATCATAGAATATCAGGGTTGGAAGGGACCTCAGGAGGTCATCTAGTCCAATCCCCTGCTCAAAGCAGGACCAATCCCCAACTAAATCATCCCAGCCAGGGCTTTGTCAAGCCTGACCTTAAAAACCTCAGAGGAAGGAGATTCGACCACCTCCCTAGGTAACCCATTCCAGTGCTTCACCACCTTCCTAATGAAAAAGTTTTTCCTAATATCCAACCTAAACCTCGCCCGCTGCAACTTGAGACCATTACTCCTTGTTCTGTCATCTGCTACCACTGAGAACCGTGTAGATCCATCCTCTTTGGAGAGGCCAAATTGGACTGATCTCCCTTTGCAACATGTCCGCAGGGAGAGACACAGGCGCTGTAAACCACCAGCCAGGGGAAACCAGGCAGATCTGAGGGGTAGGAGGAGACACAGATGGTCCAGATTTGCGTGTTCTCTACATGCAGGAAAGCAGGGCTGTCTTGTGGCTACCACTGGAGTCAGGGTTCCTGGGTTCTTTTCCTGGCTCTGTCACTGATTGACTGGGACTTTGGGCAGTTCACTTAGGGTGGGATTTTCCAAAACCGCTAAGAGCACAAGTTGTATCACTGCTGAGTCACACAGGGACTTTTGGAAATCCCATTCTTAACACTCTCCCCATCTACAACATGGAGATGATGGTCCCAACCCCACAGGGGAGAGGGAAGGTTTTGTCCAAAGCACTAGCTTCTGCCTTATTCAGTCCCTGCTTCCTACCAGATTCTAGCCAGCAGGGGGCGGCGATACACAAACACTACCCAGAATGCCCAAAGCAGTTCTCAGGCTGTCAGTCTCTGGGGCACTGCAGAGTTGGTGGGTGCCCGGCACAGACTGTGGGATGATTGCGAGTCAGGCTGAAAGAGTCGGTGGCGCTGTTTGATGGCTTTGGGATCTGGAATGGTTCCTAGTGAATGTTTCTTTCAGTTACAGAATTTCTCCCTAGACCCTTTGGCCCTTTCTCATTTCTGTGCGTGGAGCTGACTTGTTCTAGTCAGTGGGCATCTGGCTTCCTGCTGGCTTCTGAACTAGTCTCTCCTTAAATTATGTTTAAGACACTTAACATGTCTAGGGATTTCCTCCCCCTGTTAGTTCAATGCAGTGAAGCTCTGGTCCTGCGTTTTCCCTTATGAAGCATTTGCTCTGGGTCAGTATCAGACTTTCTGCACTGGCTGTTCCTTTTTGATAGTTCTGTATCTCAGAGCTCTACCTACTGCTTAGTGCAGGCCTAACAAGCATCACAGATGGATGTGGCTCCAGTTACCTGATGGAAAGATCTTATCATAGAATCATAGAATATCAGGGTTGGAAGGGACCTCAGGAGGTCATCAAGTCCAACCCCCTGCTCGAAGCAGGACCAATCCCCAACTAAATCATCCCAGCCAGGGCTTTATCAAGCCTGACCTTAAAAATATCTAAGGAAGGAGATTCCACCATCTCCTTAGGTAATGCATTCCAGTGTTTCACCACCCTCCTAGTGAAAAAGTTTTTCCGAATATCCAACCTAAACCTCCCCACTGCAACTTGAGACCATTACTCCATGTTCTGTCATCAGCTACCACTGAAAACAGTCTAGATCCATTCTCTTTGGAACCCCCTTTCAGGTAGTTGAAAGCAGCTATCAAATCCCCCCTCATTCTTCTCTTCTGCAGACTAGACAATCCCAGTTCCCTCAGCCTCTCCTCATAAGTCATGTGTTCCAGTCCCCTAATCATTTTTGTTGCCCTCTGCTGGACTCTTTCCAATTTTTCCACATCCTCCTTGTAGTGTGGAGCCCAAAACTGGACACAGTACTCCAGATGAGGCCTCACCAATGTCAAATAGAGGGGAACGATCACATCCCTCGATCTGCTGGCTATGCCCCTACTTATACATCTCAAAATGCCATTGGCCTTCTTGGCAACAAGGGCACACTGTTGACTCATATCCAGCTTCTCGTCCACTGTAACCTCTAGGTTCTTTTCTGCAGAACTGCTGCCGAGCCATTCGGTCCCTAGTCTGTAGCAGTGTATGGGTTCTTCCATCCTAAGTGCAGGACTCTGCACTTGTCCTTGTTGAACCTCATCAGATTTCTTTTGGCCCAATCCTCTAATTTGTCTAGGTCCCTCTGTATCCTATCCCTACCCTCCAGCGTATCTACCTCTCCTCCCAGTTTAGTATCATCTGCAAACTTGCTGAGGGTGCAATCCACACCATCCTCCAGATCATTTATGAAGATATTGAACAAAACCGGCCCCAGAACCGACCCTTGGGGTACTCCACTTGATACCGGCTGCCAGCTAGACATGGAACCATTGATCACTACCTGTTGAGCCTGACAATCTATCCAACTTTCTATCCACCTTATAGTCCATTCATCCACCCCATAGTTCTTTAACTTGCTGGCAAGAATACTGTGGGAGACCGTGTCAAAAGTTTTGCTAAAGTCAAGGAACAACATGTCCACTGCTTTCCCCTCATCCACAGAGCCAGTTATCTCGTCATAGAAGGCAATTAGATTAGTTGGGCATGACTTTCCCTTGGTGAAACCATGCTGTCTGTTCCTGATCTCTTTCCTCTCCTCTAAGTGCTTCAGAACTGATTCCTTGAGGACCTGCTCCATGATTTTTCCAGGGACTGAGGTGAGTCTGACTGGCTTGTAGTTCCCCGGATCCTCCTTGTTCCCTTTTTTAAAGATGGGCACTACATTAGCCTTTTTCCAGTCATCTGGGTCTTCCCCGGATCACCATGAGTTTTCAAAGATAATGGCCAATGGCTCTGCAATCACATCCGCCAACTCCTTTAGCACTCTCAGATGCAGCGCATCCGGCCCCATGGACTTGTGCTTGTCCAGCTTTTCTAAATGGTCCCGAACCACTTCTTTCTCCACAGAGGGCTGGTCACCTCCTCCCCATGCTGTGCTGCCCAGTGCAGTAGTCTGGAAGCTGACCTTGTTAGTGAAAACAGAGGCAAAAAAACCATTGAGTATGTTAGCTTTTTCCACATCCTCTGACACTGGGTTGTCTCCCTCGTTCAGTAAGGGGCCCACACTTTCCTTGACTTTCTTCTTGTTGCTAACATACCTGAAGAAACACTTCTTGTTACTCTTAACATCTCTTGCTAGCTGCAACTCCAGGTGTTAGTTGGCCTTCCTGATTTCACTTCTGCATGCCTGAGCAATATTTTTATACTCCTCCCTGGTCATTTGTCCAATCTTCCACTTCTTATCAGCTTCTTTTTTGTGTTTAAGATTAGCAAGGATTTCACTGTTAAGCCAAGCTGGTCGCCTGCCGTATTTACTATTCTTTCTACACATCGGGATGGTTTGTCCCTGTAACCTCAATAAGGATTCTTTAAAATACAGCCAGTTCTCCTGGACTCCTTTCCCCCTCATGTTATTCTCCCAGGGGATCCTGCCCATCAGTTCCCTGAGAGAGTCAAAGTCTGCTTTTCTGAAGTCCAGGGTCCGTATTCTGCTGCTCTCCTTTCTTCCTTGTGTCAGGATCCTGAACTCGACCATCTCATAATGAGGTCACTGCCACCCTGGTTCCCATCCACTTTTGCTTCCCCTACTAATTCTTCCCGGTTTGTGAGCACCAGGTCAAGTAGAACTCTGCCCCTAGTTGATTCTTCCAGTATTTGCACCAGGAAATTGTCCCCTACACTTTCCAAAAACTTCCTGGATTGTCTGTGCACCGCTATATTGCTCTCCCAGCAGATTGAAGTCTCTCAGGGTGATTGAAGTCTCCCATGAGAACCAAGGCCTGCGATCTAGTAACTTGTGTGTTGCCGGAAGAAAACCTCGTCCACCTCATCCCCCTAGTCCGGTGGTCTATAGCAGACTCCCACCACGACATCACCCTCGTTGCTCACACTTCTAAACTTAATCCAGAGACACTCAGGTTTTTCTGCAGTTTCATACCAGAGCACTGAGCAGTCATACTGCTCCCTTACATACAGTGCAACTCCCCCACCTTTTCTGCCCTGCCTGTCATTCCTGAACAGTTTCTATCCATCCATGACAGTACTCCAGTCATGTGAGTTATCCCACCAAGTCTCTGTTATTCCAATCACGTCATAATTCCTTGACTGTGCCAGGACTTCCAGCTCTCCCTGCTTGTTTCCCAGGCTTCTTGCATTTGTGTATAGTCACTTGAGATAACTCGCTGATCATCCCTCTTTCTCAGTTTGAGGCAGGAGCCCTCCCCTCTCGCGCTCTCCTGCTTGTGCTTCCTCCTGGTATCCAACTTACTTTAGGGCTTTGGTCTCCTTCCCCTGGTGAACCTAGTTTAAAGCCCTCCTCACTAGGTTAGCCAACCTGCTTGCGAAGATGCTCTTCCCTCTCTTCGTAAGGTGGAGCCCGTCTCTGCCCAGCACTCCTCCTTATTGGAACACCATCCGATGGTCAAAGAATCCAAAGCCTTCTCTCCAACACCACCTGCGTAGCCATTCGTTGACTTCCACGATTCAACGATCCCTACCCTGGCCTTTTCCTTCCACGGGGAGTATGGACGAGAACACCACTTGCGCCTCAAACTCCTTTATCCTTCTTCCCAGAGCCACGTAGTCTGCAGTGATCCGCTCAAGGTCATTCTTGGCAGTATCATTGGTGCCCACGTGGAGAAGCAGGAAGGGGTAGCGATCCGAGGGCTTGATGAGTCTCGGCAGTCTCTCCGTCACATCGTGAATCCTAGCTCCTGGCAAGCAGCAGACTTCTCGGTTTTCCCACTCAGGGTGGCAGATAGATGACTCAGTCCCCCTGAGGAGAGAGTCCCCGATCACCACCACCCGCCTCCTTCTCTTGGGAGCAGTGGTTATGGAACCCCATCCCTAGGACAGTGCATCTCATGCCTTCCAATCGGCGGAGTCTCGTTCTGTTCCCTTCCCTCAGATGTATCATCTGGTCCACTCTCCGCATTAGTACCTGTGGAGAGAACATGAAAAAGGTTACTCACTTGTATCTGCATTGCTGGTACATGGACGCTCCCCTTTCTTCTTCTGGAGGTCACATGCTGCCAAATTTCTTCACTGTCCTCCTGTCCCCGCAGTGCAGCCTGCTCTGAATCTTCAGAACATTGTGCCCGTAGAAGCATATCCTGACGTCTGTCCAGGAAATCTTCAGTTTCTCTTATGCAACGCAGGGTCTATACCTGTTGCTCCAGACCTTGAACCTTCTCTTCCAATATGGAGACCAGCTTGCGCTTTGTACAGAAAAAGTTGCTTCTGTCCTGTGAAAGAAAGACAAACACGGCAAATCCAGTGCAGGTCACAACAGCTGAACGCTCCCCATCCATATTACCATCCTTCTATGAGCTGCCTCAGGAGTTGTAGTAACTTCTCAGAGAAGCCAGCAAGATGTACACCTCAGTGGGCTCTCCCCAGGCGAACTCCCTCTGTTAACCTCTCCACTGTTGGCCTCTCAGCTGAAGCTGTCTGGCTTTTTATAACAGGCCCACTGAAGGCTCACCTGGAACAAAGCACTCCCAATTCACACTTTTCAAACAATCAAGCACACGGTCAAATTGATAAACTGTCCCCTCAACAGACACTCAGATACTCAGATCTTGGTTGGGGTTCATGGAAATGTGCAGGATCTGTAGGGGCCAGGTCCCACTTCTTAGGACCAGTGCGGTAAATTTGGGTCCACTCTTCCCACACAGGCAGGAATGGCGGGTCATTCAGCTCTCTTAGCAGCGAAGAATTGCTGCCTTGCACTTAAAGGAAGACGCCCAGGCAGGGGTTCTGTGGCTGCTGGCACAGGCTCAGTAGGGAGCAGCTAAGTATATTTGCTCCTTGCTTCTGAGTCTCCTTATCCTTGGTTCAGGCCCTTTACCTTCAATGAAGATGCTACCGCTGCCAATGGGAGGTGTTCTCCTGTCGGCATAGAGAATCCACCTCCCCTAGAGGCAGTAGCTAGGTCGATGGAGAATTCTAGCCCTGTCTCCACTGGGGGTTCAGTCCCTTTAACAGCGTCGCTCCACGGTGTGGATTTCTCACACCCCTGAGCAACATAGTGATACTGACCTAATTTCCCAGGGTAGACTAGCCTCTGAGGACTGGCCTGCAGGAGGCTGGTGCAGCCATGCTGCTCCTCGATGATCTGAGAGTCCAGCTCTGCCTGTGACTGTACGGCAGCACCCCGGATTCAGCCTGCTCCGGAACACGGGGGGTCGGAGATCTTGCTCCAGTGACTTGCCGAGGGAGTTTGCTTGGAACCAGATAGTAGGAGGAATTTTGCAGCTGTCTCCCAAGCGGTGGGCAGGGGAAAGCTCTCTGCTGTCCCCCGCACACTGATGAGAGGCTCCCTCACGCTTCACGAACACAAGCCCGTGTGGGGTATGCCCAGACGGCAGTGAGAGGTGTCAGAGTAGCAGCCGCGTTAGTCTGTATCCGCAAAAAGAACAGGAGTATTTGTGGCACCTTAGAGACTACGAGGAGACATAGCCAAGCTATCTCCCTCCAGTACCAACGCGAGGGGACGGGCTGGCTGCTCGAGAACCTGCCCTGGGTTCCGGCAGGGCTGTGCAGCTTGTGCTGCTCCCAAGCAGTCGCAGCGTCACTGCTATTGTTCTACATTGGCACAGATGACTCGTGCCTCCCAGTGGGGGGGGGGGGCAACAATCTAAAGGGGACGACATGTCACCGCCCCACGTGTTCCTCTCTACAGCAACCCCCCCCCCACAGCCCCTGCGCCCAGCGCCGGGCTGCCGCGCTCTCCCTGCCCCACCTGAGTTGCAGGGGGGTGGGGGGGAGGCTCTGTCCTTCTCCTTCTGTGCCTCTGCCCCGGCGTGTTCAGCCGCTCTCCCTGGCTGCTGGGCCCAAGTGCGGCGCGGGAGAGAGCAGCCCCTCACGCAGCTGAAGTTGGCCACTGCTGGTCACTGTCTGAGAGAGCCCAGCTGGGGAGGCAGCAGCCTGCCCTGCCCCCTCTGCTCCCTGCCTGGGCCCAGCTGCCAGGGACAGGGGCTGAGCGTGCTGGGGGGCAGGCATAGTGGGAGAAAGACAGAGCCCTTCTTCCTCCCCCTCCACCCCACAGGCTAAGCAAAAATTGGGAGGGGCGGAGCACTTGACCCCGGCCATGTGTCACCTATGTACAGAGCTCTCCCCACTCCCAACAAGCCAGTGGCCTGTGCAGAGTTCCCTCCTCCACCCCCACCACCTTGACCCCAGACGGAGCTTCACTTTTCAATGGTTCCCTTTTAAATACAAATTCAGCATGGGGATAACTGGAGGGCTCAAGGGAAGAGGTTCCACCCATGGACAGCCAGGCCTGGTCTGCACAGCCATAAAGCGCTATGTCACCGGGGACAGGCTGAGCTGGGACTGGCCAGCCTGCACCGGGCAGCACAGCCATGTTCCCAGCGGGCTGCCGGCCACGCTGCTGGCACCTGTCCTGAGCTGGGGCTGATAAAAGCAGCAGACCAGGCCGGGGCCGTGCTGGCCTGCTCCCATCAGGAGCACAGTGCGTGGATGGGAGGGAAGAGTTCACATCTGCCAGGTGGGAAAAGCCTTAAGCCAGGAAACATTGTTCAGCTTTTCAGCTCCTAGCAGGGCGCGTGGGAGCAGCGGAGAGGTGAATGAAAATGTGGGAATGGGAAGGGGTGGCGTCCCTTTAAGAAGTGTGAGACCATGTCTACACTAGCTAACTTACAGCAGCACCACTGGACCGACGCAGCGCCGCTGCTGTAAGATGGCTCGTGTAGCTGCTCTGTGCTGTAAGATCGCTCTCCCATCGACATGATAAACCCACCGAAATGAGTGACAGTAGCTGTGTCTACCGGAGAAGCTCTCCCGCTGACCGAGCGCTTGTGCCGGTGAAACTTACGTTGCTCAAAGGGGTGTTTTTTTTCACACCCCTGAGTGACATAAGTTTTGCCAACATAAGTGCTAGTGTAGACATGGCTGTAGTCTGGTGTCTTCATGGTGCTGCTCGAGGATAGCACAATATCTGACTGTCCCCTAGCGTGGGACTGTCTCCCTCATCTCAAAGCAAAGGGCTCTCTCCCTCTGCCTCCACAGGTGCCATCCATCTAGAATTTCACTCCAGCGGGAACCACTATGTCTGGAGGAAGGTCACCTCCACCGTTCACAACATCATTGTGGGCAAGCTCTGGATCGACCAGGTCAGTGGCAAGCGGCGCGAGGATCCTGGTCCCTTATCGCCCCACTCCACGTGTTCTGTCCTGGGTTATTTTGTTACAGTGCTCCAGCAAAGAGGGGCTGGCTTCTGGAGGGGGCAGTGAAAGGATCCCAGCTGCTGGCTGTCGGGAGAGGCTTCCGCTCATCTAGTATGGCCCCTCACCCCCTCATAACCTTCTGAGAAGGAAGATCTATCCCACCAGCTGCAGCGGGCACATGGGGAGGCCCCTCAGTCAGGTCCACCTTGGAGCTCCAGTGGGGTTAAGGGCAGGACTGGCACTCCTGGGTAGCCCCCTTCTGCCCCCTGGAGTTGGCCCTGGCCTTTCTGCCCAGGCTGACAGTGATACTCCCAGTCCAGCACTGGTTTTCCCTCTCCCTGTCATGCCAGTCCCAGTGAACTGGTACCGAGCTGCTAGGCTGGCTTCTATCATCCACACGCACTGGGAACCCAGTCTGTTCGCTGGCACTAGGTTAAAGTGCCTGAGTTCAGGGGACACAGTGCTGCTGAGGATTCTGATTTGCTTGTGAACAAACTGAAACTCATGCCTGATTTGTCTCTTTGTAAATCCTCTCTCTGCCTGTGATTCTGTGTCTTTTCTCTAGTCTGGTGACATAGAGATTGTTAACCACAAGTCAAAAGATAAATGCCAGCTGAAATTTACTCCCTACAGCTATTTCTCCAGAGACGTCCCCCGAAAGGTACGTATCCAGAAAAAACCCAACTCACTTAAGCAGCCTCACACATGGCAGAGGCACTGATTCTTCCCTCCGGGTAGTGCCAGTTGCCAACGGGATGAGAAAGCTGTTGGCTGTGGACAGACAGGACCTGGGGCAGCAGGAGTCCAGCAACCCTAAAATAAAGTTGATGATGATTTCCTTGAAACTGTGTTGGCACCCCCTAGTGGCCAGCTCCCTGCACCGCATGGAATGTGATGGCTCATATTTATCTCTGTTCTAGCGTTTTTAAGGCTAGATAGAATATAGTGAACTGTCCTGCATTCACGTCCCTACCCGCAGTGTTAAACAGGTTCCATCTGGCTCCATCATGTGCTCCTCCAGAATCACAAGTTAAAGCAGTAACACTGGCTGCCTTTGAGACCCGAGAAGGGCGAGACGAAGCTGGATAGCAGAATGAAGGAGGAGACGGGCTGGGTCTGGGATGAACCCCAGCGTGAAGTGTGGGGAGCTGGGTGTTCCCCTTGCATGACTCTCCTAAGCCTCAGCGCTGCCGTCCCAGAATCAGGCCTTCTGAATGACACCAGGCCCCAGTGCTTACCACGGGCAGCCGGGAGGGTGCGGTGGGCACCACTCTAGTCTCTGTCCTCTGGATGTTTGCAAGCTCCACCATCGTAAGCCCATGTGATTTTCTTCCCCCGGTGCCAGGTGACGGGCGTGGTAACGGACGCTGATGGGAAGGCGCATTACGCCATGTCTGGCACGTGGGACGAAAATATGGAGTGCTCCAAGATAGTTCAGAGCAGCCATGGCAGCACCAGCTCGGAGGGCAAGCAAAAAACCGTCTACCAGACGCTGGCCCCAAAGGTCCTGTGGAAGAAATATCCTCTCCCGTGAGTCCTCTCTGCAGGCTTGGTGTGCTGTGGTCATGCTCTTCAACAGCTGCTGCATTTCAGCCCAGAGGTGGCTGGAGTTCAGTGGTGGGCAAAGTGATCTGAGAAATAAGGACTTACTCCTGCTCTGGCCAGTGCAGGATGGGGACCAAGAGGAACAGCCATGGGTAGTGGTGCTATAAGGCACACTTTGCTGCTTCTCTGAGGTTTGCTGCTAACTGCAGCATCTCCCACCCTTGAGTATATACCCAGGGTCCTGGGTGGGTGGGGCTAGCCCGCTCTGTGGTCAGTGCAACCGCACCTTCAATGCTGTTGTCCCTCATTGTGGCTACATCAACCCGTCTAGCGAGATCACAGCTCTTTTGAGTATATCTATACATGCTGCAATCACACCCCTGATGGCAGTGTAGACAGATCCTCAGTTGCAAATAGGGTTAGGGACTTTATGGTAGCATGGCTTAGAATGGAATAACATGGCTTTCAACACTAAAGGGTGTTTTACAAAGCCATGTTGCAGGCATATTCCAGAACCATGTCTGGAGCCGGCAGGAGCTGGTTTCTAACATGGGTCTGACCATCACGGCTCACTCCCTTTCCAAAACAGTCTCATCAGCTAACATCGTTCCTGGAAGAATTGCGAAGACGTACTCAGCCCGGTTTGGAAACCTGCTTTGCTGACGCGGTTAACGCATGTTCATGGAACTGCTTTTCATGCCAGCTTAGCAATCAGGGTGGCCTGGTTTCCACCCTACCAAATCTTCGTACTCCATTGTGTTGCCTTGTTTGGCTCGCTGCTGAGAGCTAATGCCAAAGGCCATTAGTCCTCCGTGTGCAGCTGCGGTCAAACATGTGGCACAAGCGGCAAAGCACTAATGCACGCTTCTGGCTTTTTGCTAGAATGCCGCCTGTTCTCTGGGATGACTCTTGCCAGCTTGGTTGTGGGACAGCAGCATTGCTGGATGGGGGAAGTGTGTTTGGGAGTGACCTGTGCCCTCTTGACTTCCTGGCCAGTGGCACAGAGTTGTAGGAGGAGACCACGACTCCTGTGGGAAGATCATGGAACTGCATTGGTTGAACTGTTCTCTCATGTGAAGGTACCTTAGGCATTTCCATTGGGGTGGTAGGAGGAAAGGCTCCCCAGAGGAAGAATTCTGCCACCTCACTGAGGACTCCCTGCACTCCAGGCAGGTAGTGTGGCCAGATCTGGATCTAATGGTAGGAGATGCTTAGATACCGCAGTGATGGGGGGGCCATGCAAGCAGATGGATGGATGGAGGGAGACCGTTCGTATCTGGGTGGGTGGAAGAATCCACCCACTAACCTGACCCCTTCTCCTCCAGGGAGAATGCCGAGAACATGTATTTTTTCTCTGACCTGGCCCTGACCCTTAACGAGCCTGAGGAGCGAGTGGCCCCCACAGACAGCAGGCTGAGGCCTGACCAGCGGCTGATGGAGAATAGCAAGTGGGATGAGGCCAACGTGGAGAAGCAGAGGCTGGAGGAGAAGCAAAGAGCCGTCCGTCGCAGGCGGGAGGCAGAAGCCGTGGAGGCCTTGGAGGAAGGTGAGTTTGACTGGGTTGCAGGGTTCAATAGATAACCAGGGGACTCAGAAAGGCTGCTGGTCTCAGGCTGTGGGAACTGCAGCCAAAGGGAGGGAGCAAGTCAGTCAAGTGTCTCAAGTCCCAGAAGAACCATCCCTGAATCTGCCGGAACAGCACAATCCTGAATTGGCAGAGGATTGGGTAGGGAGCCTGGTCGCTCTTTCCCATCTCTAGACACCTTTGAGGGGTTTAATGGACTCAGCTGAGGGCTGGGACTCAGGTGCGCAGTGTGGGTTCTGTTTCAGACTTGCTGGGTGACTGGGCAAATCCTTTCTCCGCTGTGCCAGCTGGCCCACCTATAAAATAGGGACAGTGCTGCTTCCCACCCCCTCCAGCCCCTGGTAGAGATCTGAGGTTCTAGGACCAGATGTGCTGTGTCATTATTGATGTGGCAGAGAAACCCGCCTTCAGCTGCAGTCACACCCATCTCCTCTCCTGAGCTGACTGGGCACAGCCTCTGAGCCTTCCAGCTCTGACACCCCGCCAGGCATCTCTTTGGGAGCCAGCCACAGCACATGGAAGTTTACCAGCTCCCCTGGAAGGCCTAGGCTCATGAATTCATAGGGTTGGCTGGTCCTTCCAAGTAGCAGGAGTTTCGATAGCAGTGGGTGACCCATGCATGGCTTGTTGGGCTGATTCTGATCCCTATGTTGCTGTTCACTGCATTGTGCTGACAACACGGCGGGGATGCCAGCAGAGCAGCCTGGCTTCCCTACAAGATGTGCAACCAACCCTTGTGCTGTGCTCTCCGCTCTCGACAGGCAAAGACTATGAAGGCTACATCCCGCTGTGGTTTGAGAGAAAGGTGGATCCCCTGACAGGGGAGCTGATCTGTGTTTACAAAGGTGGATACTGGGAAGCCAAGGAGAAACAGGACTGGGATCTGTGCCCTGATATCTTCTGAGCTGCTCCTCCCATGCCAGGCTGGCAGGCCACAGGAGAGGAGGAAGAGGAGCACCTGGGACGCATCGGGCAGCATCCTGCTGTTTATGTCACAGCGCACAGAAACACACACAGAGTAAATAAATACAGAAATTTAAAAGAAAATAAATCAAAACAGGGATTCCAAACCTATTTTTTTATGCACTAATAAAATAGCGTTCAGTGTTTTTTTTAACGGTGACAGTTTTTTAGCTACTAATTAGGAACAAGGACACATTGATTTGGTTCATTTTTAGCCTAGCATATTTATTGCTGTCCGAAGTTGCTGCCTATATTTTTTTGAAGCCTCAGCTTTGTTAACTGAGACGTTGACTTCCAAAGAGGCACGCGTTGCGGGGAGACGATGCACAGCCCTTGGAGCTCTTCCTTCTGACTTTTCCCCCGTTTGCCTATGGACTTAATTTTTAAAAAATCTGCTTGTGGTTCAGGTTCCTTTTTAAAGGCACAAGCAACTCTCAGCTCCCAGTCGTCGCCGAAGCTCTAGGGAGAAGACGACTTTTCTAGAGACGGTAGATTAGGTGCTTATTCCTAGGTTCTCCCCATAGTTCCCAGCAGTGCCCCATGCTCCCATAGCTATGAATTAGGTTATTTCTGAAGCTCTTTAGGTGACTTTTAGGGGGATTGTTTGAGTGGATTTTTTCCAATCTGCAATATTTAGTTGATATTTTTTAGAACCGTCTCTAACAAGATGCTTTTTGGATCATGTTCATTTTAGTTTTTCCTTTCAACTGTGTCTTACTGGGAAACCGTTCCTTACAGAAAGCAGAAAAGAGGTGATCTGTCTAGGAAGACTTTTTAAAGCTGCCCTCAGTCAGAGTAGAGTCAGTCTTCGTGGACTAGAGCCAAGACCCTTACTCAGCAGTTCATAGATGCCACCAGTGCTCGTCGGGATCCGTAGCCCACCCAAGCCCAGCTCCTCGAGGCCCCTTCCCCCTCCATGTCTCACAGTACTAATTAATGTTCCCAGCTCTCTTTCCAGGCAGGGTTTGGGCTCTGAGCTGCCCTTTGGCCACCAGGCAAAAAGGTTGAGGCATGGATGGTTACTGTCGTATCGCAGTCAGTGTCAGTCCCCCTAATGGACAGTTGGAGGTGCAGGGAACAGTGACACTCGTTTAGGCAAGGCAGTAGTAAGGTTCATGGCGAGCTTGGTGTGAGAGCCCGGAAGTGTAGTCGGAGGCTCTTGAACAAGCAGATGGCTCCCCTACCCTTTTCATAGAATCATAGAATATCAGGGTTGGAAGGGACCTCAGGAGGTCATCTAGTCCAACCCCCTGCTTGAAGCAGGACCAATTCCCAGTTAAATCATCCCAGCCAGGGCTTTGTCAAGCCTGACCTTAAAAACCTCTAAGGAAGGAGATTCCACCACCTCCCTAAGTAACCCATTCCAGTGCTTCACCACCCTCTTAGTGAAAAAGTTTTTCCTAATATCCAATCTAAACCTCCCCCACTGCAACTTGAGACCATTACTCCTCGTTCTGTCATCTGCTACCATTGAGAACAGTCTAGAGCCATCCTCTTTGGAACCCCCTTTCAGGTAGTTGAAAGCAGCTATCAAATCCCCCCTCATTCTTCTCTTCTGCAGGCTAAACAATCCCAGCTCCCTCAGCCTCTCCTCATAACTCATGTGTTCTAGACCCCCTAATCATTTTTGTTGCCCTTCGCTGGACTCTCTCCAATTTATCCACATCCTTCTTGTAGCGTGGGGCCCAAAACTGGACACAGTACTCCAGATGAGGCCTCACCAACGTCAAATAGAGGGGAACGATCACGTCCCTTGATCTGCTCGCTATGCCCCTACTTATACATCCCAAAATGCCATTGGCCTTCTTGGCAACAAGGGCACACTGCTGACTCATATCCAGCTTCTCGTCCACTGTCACCCCTAGGTCCTTTTCCGCAGAACTGCTGCCTAGCCATTCGGTCCCTAGTCTGTAGCTGTGCATTGGGTTCTTCCGTCCTAAGTGCAGGACCCTGCACTTATCCTTATTGAACCTCATCAGATTTCTTTTGGCCCAATCCTCCAATTTGTCTAGGTCCTTCTGTATCCTGTCCCTCCCCTCCAGCGTATCTACCACTCCTCCCAGTTTAGTATCATCCGCAAATTTGCTGAGGGTGCTATCCACACCATCCTCCAGATCATTTATGAAGATATTGAACAAAACCGGCCCCAGGACCGACCCTTGGGGCACTCCACTTGATACCGGCTGCCAACTAGACATGGAGCCATTGATCACTACCCGTTGAGCCCGACAATCTAGCCAGCTTTCTACCCACCTTATAGTGCATTCATCCAGCCCATACTTCCTTACTTCAGGTTCCTTTTCCTTTCCCCCATTCCCTTGGCTTCCTTCCACTTCCACCCCATCCTCCTGCTATCTCCTTGGCGATCTTTCTCTTGTGCCCACCCCCAATCTGGTGTCCTCTCCTTAGGCTCTACTCCCCTCCCCCAGCCTGGGCCACTGACTTCAGTGTGCAGGGTGGGTTGGGGAGCAGAGCATGGGGGGCTCAGCAGAGGAGCAGGAGGAGAGATGTAGTTATCTGGCAGGATGCCCCAGCTCCAGCACAGGGACCCCTGAGTGAGGCTGGCTCTGTGTTATGCCTGGCTACAAGTCACTCTAGCTCAGTCACATGTGACTCGTGGATCCCAGTTCCCACTCCCCTGATGCACAGATGGGCCAGATCCAAGATCCCCAAACGCAGCTGGAGGGATGCAGGATTCCAGCATGGCTCCCGTGACTATAATGGGTTGCTCCAGAGCCTAGCTCTGAGCACTAACCCCCAAACACCATTAAATCACCCTGCAGTCAAAGGGGAGAGATGCCCCAGGAGCTCTGCTCACAGACACACACACACACACACCCCCGCCGCTGGGCCCTGGGCGGTGTCCCACCTCTGGCAGGACTGAGCCTACTTGCTGAGCTCTGTCACAGGTGCATGGGAAAAGCCCAGAGACTTTTGGGCAGAAGGGGGTGAGGGCAGCCTGTTCCTGCACTGCAGAGGGTGTTTGGGGCTCGCATCAGCTGCTGGAAATGGGGCACAACATTGTAATGGCCCAGTAGAAAGCTGAGTGCACTGTGGGCCACTGGCCCCACTCTGCCCTAGGGCCCTCCCTTGGTTCCCTGCAGGAAGGTGGCAGGCAATGGTTTGCTTTCCGTGCTGTGTGCAGGCACCAGTCCTGGACTGTCACTGGCTGCTCCAGCTCAGCCCGTGCTGCAGGGCTCATTTAGATCCATGCACTACTGCAGACACTCCCCTCCCCCCCACCGCAGGGCTGGACGAGCAGCAGGCTTCCCTAGACCGTTGCTGCTGAGTGGCAGATAGCAACCCCTCTCCTCCTCACGTCCCTTCCTGATGCTAAAAAGCCCTCGCTGCTGGGGTTTCACGCGGTGACCAAAGTATCCCTCCCTGGGCAGTGGGTGGCCGTGAACCCAACAGACTTTGGCACATGGACTCGCTCCCTTCCAGTCCCCTGGCTCTGGACCACCCCACATTGAAACATTAGAACAGTAGGGCAATCCCCTTCCATGGGGCTCCTGCTGTCGCCATTATTAGGAATGTCCCATCACTGAACATCCACTGAGCCCGCGCAGCAAACATTACAGCAAACATCGGGCCACATTCACCTCTTGGGCTGTGATGCCAGTGGAAGTAGTGTCTGTCCTGAAACAGCTCTGCTCCTTGATCTCCTGCTTTCTGTACCTCCCTTTCCAAGTGGCCCCCTGTTGCGTGGGGCCAGAGGCCCGTGCACTTCTGCTGCTTCCTCCCCACCGGAGCAGTCTCCTTGCTGGGATACTGAGTGCTCCGGAGATGCCCGGAAAGGATGAGCAAGCCTTCCAGGTGATAAATGAGCAGCAAGAGAAGGCGACTCACTCACACATCCTGCTCTGGTGTATACACGTCTGGTAACTGAACTGCAGGGTGTCCCGCAAGAGCTCTGTCTGCGCTGGCATTTGGGAATGGAAGTGCGGATCTGCACACTGATGAGCCCTGCCGAGCATCCTGGGCTTGAGAGGGAGCTATGTGTGAGCTTTCAGGAGGGCTAGAGGCAGGGTTCTGCCTTGTGTGCTTTCATTTCTGATGTCTTCTGCTCTGGCTTTCCACCATGTCACACCAACCACTCTGCTCGTGTGGGTCAAAGGCCATGCTGGGACAGCTGGGGACAGCCCACACCCATGGGGGAAGAAAAGTAGCAATAATGAACTTCAAGGCACTGGTAACTGAAAACCCAGACTGCACAAGGGGCTCGTATGCAATCAGGTTCCGAAGACCATCAGTCTCCAGGTCAGCCCTCTCATCCAGCACCCACGGACTATGATTTACAACACATGTATGTGTACAGTATATATACAACTTGTACAATGTAACATTAGTGAGTGTCTATCAGTGTGGTAACAGCTGATTTCCGCGTATCCTTTAATCTTTTATTTGCTTCTAATTTATATATAAATATATATAAAATTATTTTGCTTAAATTTATATGGTACATAATAGATGAAAAATAATGAAGACAGATACGGCTGTCTGAGGTTTTGTAGTACAACCTGTATGGTACATTTCAGGGTATCTTTCAGGTAGGCTTGTTCTAAAATGAGCAGGGAGAGAGAGGTTTAAGGTAATTGCTTAATTAGCTAAGTAACAATTGCTCCAAAGCCGAATGCTTTCACATTCAAAAGGTGTTAATTAGAAAAGATCATTCCCTTTTAGAAAACAAGGCATTTCAGCTTTCTAAGGCCTGGTCTACACTACAGAGCTAGGTCGAGATAAGGCAGCTTACATTAACCTAACTCTGTAAGCGACTCCACTAAAAGGTAGCTCCCACCCATGTAACTCGCCCACGACACCGACTTAATAACTCCACCGCTGTGAGAGGCGTAGCGCTTAGGACCACGGAGTTAGGTCGATGCAGTGTCAGTGTAGACATCGACTGTTACCATGGGCGGCGAGTTCTATGGGCCCGTGGTGCCCAGGCACCACCGGCCCAGCTCCAGCACTGGTCTCTCCCTCGGGCCTGCCTACTGCCCCCGTGTCCCCCGGACCATTTCAAACAGCCCGGGGCCCCCACTCACCACCGGCAGCACAGTGGAGCTGAGCAGCTTCCTGCCTGCTCGCTCCACGTGGCTGCCGGCCCCACCCTGTGGCTCCTTGGCGGGGTGGGTCTGTGTCCTGCCCCAAGCACTCCTGCGGCCAATAGGAAGCTGCAGGGGCAGTGCCTGGGGGTAGCAGCGCACGGAGACCTCCCGGCCCGCTCTGCCTAGGAGCCCCAGGTAAGCACCGCACCCCCCATTACCACCTCCTGCACCCCCACCCCTTTCCCACACACACACCCCCTCTGGCCCGCAGACTCCCTCCCAGAGCCTGCACCCCTCACCCCCTCGTACACCCTCACCCCTTGCCCCAGCCCAGAGCCTACACCCAGCACACAAACTCCATCCCAGAGCCTGCACCTCAGACCCTCCTCTCCCACCCAAACTCCCTCCCAGAGCCCAACCTCTCACCCATCCTGCACCCCAATCCCCTGCCCCAGCCCAGGGTCTGCGCCCCAGACCTCCTCCCCCCACCCACACTCCCTCCCAGAGCCTTAGGTAGGTGGGGGGTGGAGTTGGGGGCGAGCTCTGGGCATTCTGGGCACCACCAAAATTTCTACAAACCTGCTGCCCCTGGCTGTTTCTGCCTGTCAGAAGCCATCCCTCAATGCCCCACACTGACAGTGAAATCAGTGCAAGTGCTTCTGGTGAGGACGCACACCACCGACAGGAGCGTAGTGTGGATGTGCAAAAGGGATTTAATTACTGCAGTGGCTGTATGTCGACGTAACTTAGGTCGACTTAATTTTGTAGTGTAAACTTGCCCCACAGGAAGGCTGTCAGTATTCCAGCTAGTTGCCATGTTCGAAATTCAATGCGGTGTTCTCCTCTTCTCTACTTGAGCAGACTGGCACTCGGGTCCCACGGTCAGCCAGTGCAGGCTGGCTGTGTGGGTTGCCGGGGACCCAATAAAGCAGGGGAATCTCTCCCTTTTTTGAACTGCTGGGTTGATAACACTGAGCCGCTTGGATCCAGCCTGCCGGGCGACTATTGCATATTCCATCATGGAGGCATTTAGACCCTAACTCCTTTTGAGACAGACTTTACGTAACTGTGGGAGCACAGAAGGTTCTCTGCTCCAAAGCTCTTCAGTCATACCTTTCTTTGTTTGATTTATAACAACATTACATTGGGGGGGCGGTCCCACTCAAGTTCTGATTCAGGTTCATAAAAGGGAGTCGAAATATAGCTCTTTAAAATGCCTTATTTTTCCTTGCGTATTTTGTCCCAACAAGTGTTAGCCCAGAGCTTGGAACAATAAGAGATTCCTACATCTGCTGTCACTAAAACAGGACCCGTGTGCTGTTGCAGCTAACCAAAGTGCAGAGTGAAATTAAGTGTTGGCACCTAAATGCCCAGCTTTGCTGGTCTCTGGGGCAGCAATTAGTCCTTGCTGATCTACCTTCAGTAAACGCATTTGTGTAGAAGCCTCATACCCAGACACTACAGAATAGCAGAGCTAAAGAGGGGAATATTAGGAATACACCCGAAACACCCAGTCATTTTTAGGACAGCTAATTTTAAAAGCAAACTACTTCTCTGACACAGTTCCTTTAGTGACAACACTTAATCTGAGCACTGTCCTGGTCTTTCTGTTTTCCCACCAGAGGATTTTAATGTCATTCTACTGTAAATGCTGTTGAATGTAATTCTTTGGAACAATATATTGTGTGATCCCTCTTCTCCTACACAGGAATAAAACTTGGATTCAGGAGTTTTAAAATGCATCATGCTGAAGTGTCGTCACTTACTCCACTGGGCTGCCCCTGGGGCTCGGGAAATGCTCTGTGCGAAGCTGGAGGCATGGGGGGCAGTGGGCACCGCAGGGCAGTAGCAGCTGGGTGGGTTGGAGATGCTCTTCTATGGGGGGCTCTGGGTGCTTCCTGTGGGGATTGGGAGCTGATAAGAGTTCGAGGAGCATGTCACTGGGGTAGCCAGGGGCGTTGGGTCCCCAGGTTTCTTTTTCCAAGACGGGGGGTGTCTCAGCCATTGAAGGGATGTGCTGGGAGGTGGCACAGAGGTAGCAAGCCCCAGTGTAGCTCCACTGGCATGTATGTGGCACCAGCCCTGGCAGAAGGTTCCCTTGTGCTAATTCACCCAGGTCTTTCAGGGTAACTGGCTCCTTTTCCCCTTACGCTGCACAATGACCACATGTCGGGTTCAAGGAGCTTTGGGAACCATTTGCTAAGTAGCAGGCTGCCTGTGCCCTCTGAATCCTGTCCTTGTTCCCATCATTTGCCCTGTCCTTCCTCCCCGGGTCCTCCTTAAGTCATGGTGAATGGGAAGTGGAGGGAAGCCCAGGCACTGGTGAGTGAGAGGGGCAGCAGGGCCAGGCAAAGGCCACTGGGAGTCAGGTGGGGCCAGGTGATGGCAAACAGGGGGAAAGGGGGTCAGTGAGACAGTCTTCCTGGTTGCTGCCAGTGTTATGGAAGCGTTTGAGAGCCCCTGATCTAGAGGGTGATCCAGCCACTGTCGGGGAGAGCTGCAGGACTTTGCTGAATGGTGCCAAGGTGTAGCTGGCCTGGGAGATCCCAGTAGGGATGGGACCTCACGAAGGAAAAGGCCACAGCCCTGCAGGGACCAGCTCTGAGCAATTTGGGCTGAACAGGTGCCTAGGACACCAGCCCAGCCTGTAGCCCTTCTGCAGTGCGCCACCTGCCCCCATTACAGGGCCTGAGACCCAAGAGGAGGATTTCCCAGCCATCCAGTTACTCCACCCTCTCTAGCAGCAAGGACAGGGCGCCTGGTGGCTAAGGCTCTTGCCTGACATTATAGATTTGTCTCCCCCTTGCAGGCAGATAGCTCTGCTCTCTGCCCCCACCCCTATCTCTCTCAGGAGCCCTCCTGGTGCCCTGCGCCTCACCCTGGACACCTGGCATCTCACAGTCCTGCCATTGCACAACCTCACGAACTTGGCAGCTTGAGGCTGAGCCTCTGAGCGGTTTCCTTAGCCTCTTAGGTCCCCAGTCCTAAGAGCTGCTGCCTCTGTGCAGTCGGCAAGGTCAGATCCCATCTGATGCCTGCTCCAGCCAGGGTCCTGCTTGGGCAGAGAGATGGGATTGGCCTCTCCCGCAGCACATGTGCTTTCTCTTCCACCTTGCAGGGTCCCACAGTCACAACTGCGATCAGAGTCTATGGGGCCTTTGCCATACGGGCTCCTCCCTGGATGTCTGGCTCTGCAACCCGCGCTAAGAGACACATTAACACTGTTTTGAAGGTGTTTGCAGGGCCACTGGCCCTTTATTTACTACCTGCCTCTGCCCCCACCACCTCTTTGTGTACTAGAGGATCCCTGACTCCGGTGGGGATATGTTTGGTTTGTTTGAATTCAGCCTGGGGTTTCTTGAATGAGACATTGAATGTTAATCAGTTTTTGTTAGTACATCCCCTCTAATGCTTTTTAAATTACACCATTGGTACATTAAGAAGTTCCTGCTTGTATTACATTATTTGTAGCATTGGCCAACACATAATTAACAGTTCTATAACCAGAAGCCAGAGTTTAAAGTATAAGCTCAGATAAAATGCTGATAGACATGGCATGAGAAGACAAGACAATCAAACAAGACTGCACCTTCAGACTTAACTGCATTTCCTGACTGGAGAGTGCCTGAGAAACTGCAAGCTCTCTGAACTCCTTTCTCCCTTAGATTTTCTTCCTATAGGACCTTACTTACCACTTCTCAGAGTTGGTGAAAGTCAGCTTTTTTGAAGTCCATTTGTCCTTATTCTGCTGCTCTCACTCCGTCCTTTCCTTGGAATCATGAAATCTCTCATTTCCTGATCACATGCACTTAAATTGTCTTCCACCTTCAGATTTACAACCAATTCCTCCCTGTCGGTCAGAGTCAGGTCTAAAATAGCTGTCCCCCTCATTACTTCCTCCACTTTCTGAAACAAAAAGTGATCCTCAGTACATTCCAAGGGCTTACTGGAAATTTTGTGTTTTGCCATATTACTTTTTCAACAGATGTCTGGGTAGTTCAAGACCCGCATCACTACCAGGTCTTGTGTTTTGGATATTTGTTCTAGAATGACTCATCCATCTCCCCTTCCTGATGTGGTGGTCTATAGTAGACTCCCCTTATACCACCCTATTTTCTCCCTTGTATGTGTACCCAGAGACTTTCAGCTGGTCTGCCTCTCACCTGCTCTGGATCTCAGAACACATGTATATATTCTTGATATATAATGCAACTCCTGCTCCCTTTTTTCCCGGCCTGTCCTTCCTGAACAAGCTATAGCTCTCTATATCAATATTCCATACATGAAATTTATCCAGTCAAGCCTCTGTGATGCCAATTAAGTCATAATTTAGCTTATGGACTAATCCTTCCAGTTCTTCCTTATTTATTCCATATACTCCTTGCATTTCTGCATAAACATCTAAGATGTTGAACTGATTTCCCCACTGATTTCCCACTTGTTCCTCCGATGACCCTATTCTAATTTTCCATGTCCGACTCCTCCCACACCCAGCATCTAGCCCTCTGTTAAGGTCACCTTTTTTATGTTTACCTTTGGGCTTTAGTCACATGCCCCCCTTGAACCTAGTTTAAAACCCTCCTCACTAGGTTAGTGAAAATGCTCCTCCCTGTCTTGGTCAGGTGGGTGGTCCTTCCTTACTCATCAGACCTACTCACTGTGTGTATCAGAGTCAGATTTGCTGACCGGAGTGACAAAAATATTTTCCCTACGGTTTACTCCTTTTAGCAGAACCCAGGGCTGGGAAAGAAGGAGACGAATTCTGCTGTGGCTCATGCAGCAGCCACAGGACTATTAACTAAGCACAGATCACAGCAATGTTATTGTAGCTGCTGATATCCAAACCAGAACAAGCCCAGTGTGACTCTCTGACCACAAGGTTGTTTCTCAGGAAAAGTCTTTTTCCTCGTGAAACGAGCTTATTTGAGCCAGTCAGTGAAGCCGCAGAACCGCACAGCGATCACATCCCATTTCCAACAGGATTTGTTTCAGGGAAATTCCATGGCCTGTTATACAGGAGGCCAGGCCCTTTCTGACCTTGGAGTCTTGGCCATTTTGCAGTTGCATCTGACTCACAGATCCACCGATGTGGTGCTCTCGCACAGCTCTGGAGCAGTCCCCGGGAGGGTCCCCTTCAGTGTGTCAACCCCCTTAGGGGCACACTCTCGCCCCTTGGCTTCATCGCCTCCTGGGACCCAACTTTGGAGCCTTCAGCACCCCTGCTTCACGCCATGAGCTCCCCTCAGCAAATCCATCTGGACTGGACACCTGGGGGAGACTTCACTGCCAGAAGGAACCATGCACTCCCAACTTCCTTAATCTGGAGTGACTCTCAGACAGTGTTGTACAAACATAAGGGTTTATTAGAAGTCTAGAACACAGCATAGAATGTCCTTAGTTAATAGAGAATGGAAAGTTACAGCAAAGTATATCTGGACCCTCTCTGACCCCCCTCTTGAATCCCAGTCCAGAAAATTCTCTCCCTCTTCTAGCAGCCCAACACTTAACAAACCCACCTGATCCCTCCTCTGTCCTTTGTCCTTGTTCCAGGACAAACCTCTTCACCTAGCCCTCCCCATTAGCCTTTTTTTCTCCAGCTAGTCACACCCAGCTGGCTTCCTGTTAAGGAGTCACCCTCCATGGTCATTAGACTCGGTACCAAACATCTGGCCAATTGGAGTGGCCACATTGTCTTTTTTGAGCTCTCCATGGCATGGGTTCCAGGCCCCAGTCAGCCAGGTGTCAGTCACGCCTGTATCTCTGGGTCACTGCAAAGAGTAAACAACCTTTTCCCACCACCTAGTTAACCAGGCACCACACAGGGGAAACCAAATCGCACACAAGATTCATACAAAACATTACAAAAATTTCCCACAGTCACAGATGTTACAGCACTGGCAGAGTTTCCCAAATGCCCAAGGAACAGGGCATTACCAAGACAGACAATGCCTATTTTTAAAACCTCCACTCTGGTTAAGGTTTGTGCCTTGGGCCTGTTGGGTACATTTGGACCCTGCTGTTGGTGGCTGGTTAGACTTGTAAGCTCCTTGGTCCAGGGACTTCATTTTCCTGAGTGTGGAGTTCAGGGCTGAGCTCGGGGCAGCAGGCCCTGAACAAACATGGGCTAGGCCCCTCCAGGGGGGTTGATTCTTCCTCACTGATGCTGGGTCTATTCCCTGGGCCCTGAGGCAGGAACTGCAGGGGCTGGTGACCCGGGTTTACTCTGTTTTCTATGCAGGGCAGGATCCTACCCCATGGGCCTTGGGGCTCCCTGCAGAGCCCGGCAGTCGGTGCCATGGGCCGGACTGGTCCCCGCGCGACGGCCCTGTCCTGGGGGCTGGCGTGGGGTGGGGGTGGCTTGGAAAAGAGAGGAGCCCCCGTAGGGGAGGGTCTGCAGTGCCCCGGCGGCCAGGCTGGGGAGGCGCACGGGGCTCCGGGCGGGGATGGGGGCTGAGGAGCGGGGAGGGGCCCGGCCGGCCGGCGCCCGCGTCTCCCGCTTTGGGACGCTCCAGCCGCCGCTCCCGGCCCACGGGGCTTCCCGCCGCCTCTTGTAAGTTTCCGCCTCGCGCCGTCGCTAGGCAGCGGCTACACGTGCCCGCCAATGAGAGCGCGGAGGGGCCGCCGCGTTCCACGGTTGCTGCGCGACCCCGGCCGGGGCGCTCCAGAGTCGCTGCGGAGCGGCCGGCCGGTCCCGCCCCGCCGAGCCGTTTGCCCCGGAGCCAGGCCCCTCCCCGGCAGGTGA